ACGGGAACGCGGTCTCGCCACAATAAGTGGTGTGACGGTCGTCTCGCCAAACAAGACAGCGGTCTCGACCCTTAAGGTGGGAATCCTTTATTTTTTGTACAAAAAAGTCTTCCTACTCTAATATGGGGCCTAATAGTCTCTCCTAGTGGCTTTTTAGGCTTTGTTCATCTTCGAATAGGAGTTCTTCTACTCTTTATTTTGAGGCCGGGCAAAATTTGGGGTCTACAATGCTTTATTGTTTGGCTTCAATAACTGTTGTATGTTTACTTTATGCAATTGTTTGAAATAACAATTGTACACAAACCCTTGCACACAACAGTTCCCCCTATACCTGGGGGAAAGTGGGATAACCTTAGGGAGTGGGTAGCATTGTACGATTTGCCGTAGTGAGGGCCATGAGCCCACCAGTATGGTCAGAAACCACCACTCAAGGTGATAACTTTCCTCTTTTGGCCCAAAGACTGTTAAGGCCCTAGTGCCATGCATGGTCTGAAGACTGGGAGAGTGGGGACCCTATAATGGGGGCACCTTGGGTGTCTGGCCTTGGTGAGGATATTTAGAACTACCTTGAATACGCACTCTTCTGCAGGATACCCCTACCTCGTGATAAAAACGTCATCTCACTATTCGCAGATGAGTGAATTGTTTGTGCATTTGTTTGTTGCATTTGTTTTTGCATAGCATAATCATACAATAGAAAAATAAAAGAAAAATCTCTCAAAAATATTTTCACAATAAACACCCTTATCTCAGACAATCTGCATTTTACCTATCCTGGTTTCAGGATCTTTGTAAGCTAAGTAGTCGCACAGTCCGACAGAAGAGATAAGAGATGCTAAAACCATTCTTTTGCAATAAACCACTTGTATCTCGGACAATCTGCCTTTTAGTTAGCCTGGTTTCAGGTTCTTTGTAAGCTAAGTAGTCACGTAGTCCGACAGAAGAGATAAAAGGTTATAAAATTCAAATAAATCAAATAATCATAATAAAAGAAAATGGGACCCTGTTCATAAGCATCGAACTCATGAACATCCATATAGGTAGTTTCTTTTGAAAAATTACAAACCCAAACACTATCATGCATCACGTAGAAAATAAAACATGATAATTTTTAGGAAAAACAAACACTTACATGCATGCCCGCATTAACATCATATTCATAGCATGCATTTTTGTTTTTAGAAAAATGGAGGGGTCTAGTAGACAGTTGAAGAAAGTGGACATTCCCCAATATCATGTAGAGAGGATAGAACGGTTGTGTGCATTGATGCCACCTGAGGTCCGCTCCGACTTCGAAAAATCTTATGGATGGATTCTCGATCTGTTGAAGATCTGTGTCGACCCCATCTTCATCAGGGTTTTGATCCATTTTTGGAACTCCAGTCTACACTGCCTCGAATTTTCGCAATTTGATCTGGTACCAACTTTGGAGGAATATGAAATAATGTTGAGATGACCCAAATTAGCCAGGGTCCATATTCGTCACGAAGCATATATTCCTATAGCCAAAGTCAGTGCCATCATCCAATTGCCACTTCATCGGGCTGCCCTGATAGTAAAAGGGAATATCCAGGGTTGGACAGTTACGATGTTAAAAGACCATCTGTCCTCTTTGGCTGATAAGGCAGATTGGTTTGCCTTTAACAAAACCTTGGCTCTGATTGTGTTTGGGACTATACTTTTTCCCTTTCACCTTGACACAGTAGATCAAGTCGTTATGGACGCCTTTTTCGCCTGGGACGTGCACCCGAAGAGTCCCTTGCCTGCGCTTCTTGTCAACACCTTGCTTTCGGTGGAGTTCTGTCACCAAAAGCAAGGAAGAACATTCAGATGCTGCTATTCATGTGGGGTATCACGCACTTCTATGCCTCTAGCCACATGGGGATGTTCCCCGATCCTTTGAAAAGCTTCTCAAAAATCCCTCTCCACCGATGTCTAACCTTGGAGTGGAAGGTCGAACTAGAATAATGGAATGTCAACCTCTTATTCTGGGCATGTCCTTGGTTCTGACCTAGCCCTATCCTCATCAGATGTGGAGATTATCCGAGCGTACCTTTAGTAGGTCTCTGAGGTTGCATAGCTTACTCCCCAAAAGTGGCTATGAGACAACTCATGAGAACCCAAACCGCGTTGTCACAAGAGGAGCTCAGAGGACAGTGTTTCTTCGGAGACCCATGCAATGTTGCAAACTCACTTGTTGTACGGAGAGCATGGGAGAAACCAGTGTTTATGGGAGATAGAGAGCTAGGCAAAGCTCGAGTGGTTGTTTCTAGTGATTATGAGGAATGGAGGAGAAGTAGAGGGATGTCACAGCCATCCACCCCACCTGTTGTACCATCAGCCAGTGGAGAGCTCCAAACTCAAATCGACGCCTTGACCCAAAGGGTAGAAATCATGGGAGCCCAGATGAGGGCCCTTGAGGAGAAAGAACAAGAATCTATCCTTACTATAGACGGTCTACAAAGGTAGTGCAAGAAGAAAGATCAAGAGATAGAGCGCCTCAAGGACCAATGTGCTGACTCCAGTGAGAAGGTTATCCGAGCATCCAAAGTTGCCAGAACAAACTTGGATAATCAACTCCAAGAGATAACTACCAAATCAGTACACCTTGAGGCTGAATGCGCAAAGCAGGCTCAGACGATCAAGGGAATGCTACAAGATCTTGCAAGGACTCGGGCTGAAATACATAAAGGAAGGGAGACCACCCAGAGACTTAACAGAAGCCTTACTGAGCTACGCTGCAAAGAAAGACACGGTTTAGCTCAGTATGACCAGGTTCTGCAAGAGAGAGACTGAGCCATTGAGAGACTCGACAACTTACAAGCCTTGGTCGTGTATGGGAAGTCGAAGAGGAATTGCGTAGAAATCAAAACCCGCCTGTGGGTTTCTCTAGGCTTTTTCGTTTCTGTCAAAACGTGCTTCGTAGCATGGTATAGGGGAATGTACACTTTCTCTAAATAAATAAAAATACCTTTTGTTTATTCAAACAACTGTCTACTTGCATTCATTCCATTCATAAGTTGCATACTTGCATATCCCTCCTTCACTTTTAATAAATAAGAAAGATTAATTGATATGTCTTCCACAATCAGAAAGATGGAGAGAAAACGGTTCGTAATCAAGCTCTCCCCAACTGTCGATCCGCTCCAAGAAGGCAATAAGCCAATCCAAATTGGTCTCACTATCTTCAACGTTGATTTCCACGTGATGGATATTACTCTAGCATACAATTGTCTCCTTGGATTCACGACGCTAAGGCAGTACCTTCAATGTTCCACCAAAAAGTCAAGTTTATAGTAGATGACAAATTGGTCACGGTCCAAGCTGAAGATGACATCTTGATCAGTAGACCGTCTACCCAACCCTATGTGGATGCGGTTGAAGAGGCCCTTAAAACATCCTTTCAAGTGCTTGAAATCGCCAGTGTAGAGAGACTTCCCAACAACATGAAGGTAGTCCGCATGATGATGAAGTATGGTTACCATCCTGGCTAAGGGCTCGGTGCAGACTCCCAAGGAAGAAAGGAGCCCCCGAAATTTAAGGACAATCCCCTGAAGCCACTACTAGAAAAATGGTTAATAGTGACCGAAATTAGTGACCAAAAAATTCAGTCACTGATAGTAACTGAATCAGTGACTAATTACCCTTTTTATATTTAGTGACTGATTTAGTGATCAAAATTTTAGTCATAGAAATCGGTCACTGATTCGGTCATTACTAGAAAAATGATTAATAGTGACTGAAATTAGTGACAAAAAAATTTCAGTTACTAATAGTAACTGAATCAGTGACTGATTTCTCTTTTTATATTTAGTGATCGATTTATGACTAAAATTTCAGATCACTAAACAAATAATTTATACATTGATGACTATTTTTCATTTATAGAAATATTTTTTAAAAATATTTTAATAATATATTAAATATAAATCTACTTAATAATTTAAAATAATTGATAAAAAATTTTAATAACATTATAAAAATGTAAAAAAATAGTTTACTAACTTATTAAATAATTTAGTAATATAATTATTTTATTTTATTTTTAATTTAGTATGTGAGTAAACAAATTAAAATTGATTATTAAATTAGTCACCGAATCGGTCACTTATTCGATCACTGATTCGATAATTGAATCAATCATTAAATTAATTATTAATTTAGTCTCTTATATATATATATATATATATATATATATATACATATATATATATATATATATTACTTGTATGTTAATAAAAATGTATTTCAATGTATTTATAAAAAAAATTAAAATTATTTTAATTACTTGAATTGATATTTCAAATTTATATTAATATCTTGAATAATTTAATAATTGGATAAATATTTTAAGTTTATATTAGTCATTTTTATATAAAAGTGTAAATATTAAGTGAACTTATTTTAAAAATTAATTAAACATAATAATATAATATAGTATTAATCATAACTCGTGAAGATTTAGTTAAAAAATAATTTTAAGTTTTATCATTTTGAAAAAAATTATTAAAAAAATTTAAAATAATTAATTAAAATAAAGAATTTTAATAAATTTGTTAATATTATGAGTTATGGGAGAATTAAATTTATAATAATAATTATATTATTAATAAAATTTAAATTATTGATAATTTTTTTAATTATGAAGCTAAAATTTGATAATATTAATAAATTTAAAATGAAATAAATAAATAAACTTATATATATATATATATATATATATATATATATATATCACTTTAATTATTTTAATTAAAATTAATTTCATGGAAAAACTAATATTTAAAAATAAAAATGCAAAAGTATATATTTTTTCTTTTATTTAATTATATTTTATATTTTTTACTTTTTGGGCTTTAGCTAACACCCACCCTATTTCTAATTAACTCATTCTCCCCACCGTCAGCATTCAATTTCGTCCGGGTAGATAAAAATAAAATAATGATAATGAATAACAATAATGATAATTTCGTCCAGGCACCCATGATGACCATCGCCCCATGAACTCGTCGGTGTCGAGTCCTCTGTGTGGACCACTGTGTTTTGCCTCCACCTTCACCGAGCCCCGCTCGCCTCACCCGCGGTTCCCTCCATCTTGAGCCACTGCACTACCTCCACCTTTTTATGTATTATTATTGTTAATTAATATACTAGAATAAATTTATATAAAAATAGTTTTTATCTTCAAAATTTACTTATTCAAATTCTATATTTATATTTTTATACTGTTTCTTTATAATTAAGAAGGTCAACATTCGTGCACACACATAAATGAAAATGAAAAAAATATAAATATAGTATCTTTTACTTTTCCAGACTAATAAATAAAAAAATAATATATAATTTAATATATAATAATTACTTTTATTAGTGTTTATCATTTTTAACATAAATTAAAAAAAAAAGATGATTATTTTTTACAAATTTTTTTATGATATAAAAAAATAGATTTTTGGCCCAGTCCAATAGAGTGGTTGCCCTAAACCACCGTCCCCCTCCCTCTCTTTCTCACACTCTAATCCCTAGTCAGTCGCACTAAATCCTAGCTTCCTCCCTCAGCTCCGGTCACCACCACACCCACAAGCACTACCATAGAAAACCTACCACACCCACAAGCACTACCATAGAAAACCTCCACTCTCTCTCCCATCATGGCGCACTATATCCAGCCTCACCCCCTCTCCTTCTCACACTCTAATCCCTAGCCACCGCAGAGAATCCAATCGCACCGCTCAAATCATCAGTCAAGGGCCACCTTTGCCAGTGTTGCACCGCCTCTACATTCGCAAACCACCGTCTCACCTCATCCATTCTTCCCCATTTTCCTCTGATTCAACGGCCCAAGCCTCCCAGCTCGTGCCTCCAGCGGATTCACCTTCGCTCGCTGCGCCCAAATCACCACTGCGTGCCATTCTCGCCAGCCACCGCACCAATCCTAACCAGCGTTGCTAGTAGCCACCGTGACACCCTTAGTGGCCACCGTGAATCCAAAGTTGCAGCCACGTTGATTCCTATCAAACCTTAGACTCCAGCCCTGTCATCGAGTGTCACGCCACCACTCATCGCATGCGTGTTTGTCCCTCTCTACTTCATCCATTTTTCTTTGTTGCCTCATCTTCATTTTTGTGTTTTGAATATGTTTTCGTGTGGTTTGGTTCTGCAGTTTTCCGTTTGACTCTGTTGGTCCATTTGGCCTGATTAGTTTGAAGTTTTGTGTCCCATTTGGGTCGAGATTTGATTTTAGTTCTACGTTATTCTGCTTGGGTGTGATAGGTTGAGTATAGTTGGTCCAATACTTTTCGTCCGAGTTTGTTCTACTATTTTTGTTTTGCTTGGGCAATTGCTGTGGTTTTTTGTTCTGAGGTCAAAGTTTGGCCAGAAGGTTCAAGATTGGTTCTTTTTGCTGCGCTTCCTGGCCAACCCTACGTAGGCTTTCAACAGTTCTTAGGATATGTCACAGTGGATGACAAGAAACACAAGTCTCTCTTTTACTAATTTGTTGAGTCAAAAACTGATCCAGCTTCAAAGCCTCTTGTTCTATGGCTCAATGGAGGTCTACAATCTGTAGCTTCAAAACTTGATATAAATTTTTTTCAAGACATTGGATTAAATAAGAATAGCTAGCAAAATTAGTATTTGCATCTTAGATTATTGAATTTGACTAATATTTCATTATTCAGGACCTAGTTGTTCTTCTGTAGAAGTGGGAGCATTCTAAAAAATGAACCCTTCAGACCAAATGGAGAATTTTTTATTAAAAATGATTATAATAGTTGGAACAAAGGTACTCTTTTGCCACATTCAATTATATCTATCAGCTAGAATGGACTGCATTTCATTCTTCCACTGGTTGGTAAACTTTTGTGCTGCATAGGCAAACATGTTGTATTTGGAGACACCAGTTGAAGTGGGGTTTTCTTATGTTAAGGGTAGCTCCTCATATATGACAGTGAATCATGAGGCAACAGGTATTCTACATTAATATTAGACTAGTAACGAATTTTGTCTTCCAGATTAGTGTGATCATGTACTCTGCAATATGATAAGGTTTCTGTTCAACACCAAATGAAATCCTCTAAGAAAATAATTGATATCAGTATATTATTACATTAAAGAGGATGAAACTGACAAGAGAATTTTGTAGAGTCACTTAAAATAGTGAAAGAAATTGGGTTGGATTCCTTTAGATTTTTTATCTCATGGAGTCGCATATTCCCAAGTAAGATATATATATATATATATATTCCTCTTTTGAAAGTTACATTAAGTTTCATATTCTCATATTCATAAACAATTATTGGAATTTCACAATGTTGAATTATTTTCTGCAGAGGGAAAATGAGCTGTTAATCCTTTGGGGTTTAAATTGTACAACGATCTCATCAATGAAATCATAGCAAATGGTAAATTCATCAAATTCTTCAATTTTTGTTTTCTTTTGTCTTTCTATTTTTGTGTTGAAATCTAACTTTGACTAATATATAGGTGAAAGGGTGAGTTAGATACCTTGTCCTTGCTAACTTGGTATTTTTATTTGGGCAGGCTTAAAACCCTTTGTGACCCTCTTTCAATGGGACTTGCCGCAAGCTATTAAATATGAGTATGGAGGGTTAAAATGAAGGTTAAACTAAAATAATGTGGCAGATTTGTATTCATATAAATTACCAGATATTGTGTACAACTCTCTATGTAAACTAAGTATAATTTTGACTTAATTTTTGGTTAGGAAGTATAAACACTAATTATTATGGTTTACTATTAAACATTTGAGTTGAAGTTGAATCCTTCCGAGTTGTTATTTGACTTAGGAGTTACTTGCATGAAGATTACCAATAGTAATACATGAAGATTAACAATAGTAATAATTACAGTAAAGATAACAAATGTCTCAATAGAAAAGTAAAATGATAAAAAAAAAGATGTAATAATTGAACTCTATTTAAAAGTTAATTATGGCACAAAACATGTTTCAAATCCATCAAATGATCCCCTCTGGCCTCATTCCGCCGAGGAGATTCGGATTCTGTCATATTTTTTAATCAGGTTTATTGTTATTTTAAAAATAATATAAAAAATTAAATAAAATTAGTGATTGAAATAGTGACCAGGTTTTATCATATATTAAGTCATAAAATTGGTCACTAATTCAGTCACTGATTCGGTCACTAAATTGATCATTGAATCTGTCACTAAATCGGTCACTAAAATTAGCGACCAAGGAAATAGTGACCGATTATAGTTGGTCACTATTTTGATCATTATTTTAGTTAGTGACCGATTTTAGTCATTTAGTGACCGAATTTTCGGTCACTATTTGATGTTTTTCTTGTAGTGAGCATGACCTAGGATACAACCCTACAAAGGGTCGAGCTGTGAGAAGAAAAGGGAAGTCTCCCCTCCACACAATCAAGTAGATCTTTCGAAGCGGAGGGATACAAGCGTCGAGAGCAACTCTAGTCATTAGGAGTTCTTTTTCCTTTCTTAAGGGATGTAAACCCAATGATTGTTAGAGATTATTTCCTCGGGGCTAGCCCGACCCCCGAGCATCTTAAGGGCACATATTCCCCTCTTAATTAATAAGAATACAATTTTTACTATTTGCTTCTCTTCTTGCTATTCATGCCTAAACCTCATAATAACCATGTTTAAGCAAACGTTTTCAAAAGTGCGACAAAATAACCAAAACGCACCATCGCCAAAAAAAAATCAAACTGATTGACTAGAAACATAGAATAAGGTTTTACCTCATCATAATAAAACCGTGTTTCACCAATATTGTGTAAAAAAGAGAACATAAATAAAAATAAGCCCATAGAAGCCAAAGGCCAAAAAACAAGGGCAAATTACCCAATAGGAAACCCACTCAAGGGGGCTACGCAAAAATTAGGGTTGACCTGCTAGGAAACCCGAACAATAATAAAGGGTATCCTAGGCAGAAGTTAGGGTCACAATATAAGGTTCGCTAAGATTCCCAAAATAAGAAAAAAGGAAATATAGACAAAAGTCAAGACCAAAACACAATTTCCTAGTCTGAAAACTCAAAGGGCAGTCTGGGGAAGTCAATCAGCCATAAGAAAGCAATAGAAATCGGCTAAGATGCAGATCCTTAAAGCAAAACATTTGTTTTAACATTAGCCTAAACACTTTGATCAACCATGGTCAGCCATTCTTACAAAATGCCCATCTGAATAAAATAAAAAAATAATAACCGTCTAAAACCCAAGCCCTTGAATAAATTATCTTCTTACTTCTTTTCTCTTGATCCTTATCACAATATTCTGATAATTAGTGGGGGAATAAGGAGGCATATAATCAACAAGAGAATTGAAACCTCCAGAGGAAGGAAAAATTACACCAACATGGCAAGTTTGCTTCTCAGTCAACAATTATTCTTCGGTCATAGTAAGTCTGGAATGATATAAATAAGTACAGCTAAAGAACGACATCAGAAGGGCCTCGTCTTCAAAAGACACATCAGTTAATCCATTTGAAAAGATAACTAAATAGTATTATAGGACACATAACATTAAAACATTGCATGCATTGTTTGTGAACAGGGTCCTGAAAGTGATGAAGATCTTGTTGATTTGATGAAGTCAAAGGCTAATCTAATGAAGTCAAAGGTTACTTGGGTTAAAAGGGTAGAGTGATTAGTGAGTCTGCATCTATACATAGGTATAATCATTCATATCTCTCTGATGCATGAGGTTTCATCATTAAAAAGAATTTGAAAATGCCGTTAAAGATGTTTAATCTATTAAAAACCAAATTAATCGGTTAAATGGTTTTTAGGAAATTGTTTTAACTGATATTATATGAGCTTTTTCAATTAAAATGTTTTTAAAACTTACATAACAGATTTTTAACTGATATGATTTCGAAATAATAAGTTATTTTTATTATAAGGGTTTTTGAATATCTTCTGCTAGTGTTTTAACTGATATGCTTTCGAAATAATTGGTTATTTTCATTAAAAGGGTTTTTGAAAATCTTCTGCCAGTATTTTAACTAATATAGATTTGAAATAATCGATTAAAATCACTTACGATGTTTTGAAAAGTGTTATGGCAGTATTTTAATCGATATAACTTCGAAATAATCGATTAAAACCACTTGAAGTACTTTTTAATCGATGTAATCCCATATGTGATCGATCAGAATAAGTTTTAACCGATTAAATCTCATATATGATCGATTAGAATAATTTTAATCGATTAAACTGCGATTTAATCGATTAAAACAACATAAGGAACTTTTTGCTAACTGTTTTAATTGATTAAAACTTGTTGTTATCAGTTAAAATTACTTAGAAAGTTTTATGAAAGTTTTTGGCAGAATTTTAATCGATTAAATTGTGAATTAATCTATTAAGCACAACTTAAGGGACTTTTTGTTAATTGTTTTTCTCGATTAAAACGTTGTCGTATCAATTAAAACAAATCTGGAAAATAATCAAGAACATTTTAACAGATTAAAAGAAGTTTTAACATATTAATTCAAGACTTTTAACAGAATAAAAGATTGTTTTAACAGATTAATTAAACCAGCAGTTAGAACAAATCTCTATATAAACAGGATTGCTTCAGTCTTTTAAAATATACTTTTGAGTAATCAATCAAGCAATCATAAGAACTACTTTCAAGAAAGAATCACACAAGTTTTGTGGAATTTTTCAAAGTTCTTTCATGAGGCAATTTTTGCATTCTTTTTTGTGAAGAAACTCATACTACAAGGACTGCATAATCCAGGTTTGATTGTTCTAGTTTCTTCTCTTTGTTTCTTTACATTTCTTTACTATATTGTGGGTGTCTGGAATTGTTGGGCATTGGTTTTGTAGTTGAAATTTGGCTGCAGGTTGGTTCAAGAACTGAAATTTGGTTCTTGGTGAAGGTTTAGGTGCAAGGACTGAAATTTTGGTTCTTGTGGTAGATTGGGTGTGTGATTGAAATCTGTAATCTGTAAAACATTCAATCTAGTAGAACTCAACTGGAATTTGGCTGAGAACTGGATGTAGCCCTGGGATTGGGTGAACCAGTATAAATCTTGGTTGTATTTCTCTAAACCTTACTCTCTTTAATTATGCTACTGCCTTTATTTTAATAGCTTGTTTTGATTGATTCAAGAATTGGTCAGAGCTCTTAATCTTTGAAATAGATAATCTGTAAAATTGCAAAAATCTTTCAAAGATCAATTCACTCCCCCTCTTGATCTTAGCCTCTTTTTCTAACAGGTCCTATATTCCAAAAAAAACCTTAGAAAAGCCTAGACGACCGTCTCATTTAGTGAGACCACCGTCTCGTCATTTGTTGAAGTCAAGACCGTCATCTCGTTTGGCGAGACCGTCGTCTCGTTTGGTGAGACCGCCATCTCGTTTAGCGAGGCTGCCGTCTCACCATGTCGCAAAGAGCGAGATCGCTGTTTCGACATTCCAAACGGCGGTCCTAAACCCCAAAAATTCAAGACGGTCGTCCCGACCTTGAAATTTTTTTTCTATATATAGGGGTTTTTGGGTCATTTTCAAAGCATCTCATTCATGCATCCTCTCATACATACTTGAGTGTCTTTGAGAAAAATGCAACAAGGCGAGTCTTCCAGGCCCTGGAAGAGAGGTCGGGGATCCGGTCAGGGCACCCCGGCACCACAGGCCCCGCCAGATCCGACTCAGCTCATGCCGCAACACTAGGCTAGGCTTGATCATATTAGGAGCTACTCCTGGCACCCCCTGCTGTACTTGGATTTCAGCATCCATACCGAGTTCGGTTGGGATGAGGATGTACGAGGCTATATCCATAGTATTGGGTGGGACTTCCTCCTCCAAGACCCTCCTACCCGCATCTACCGCGAGGTTGTGATGGAGTTCCTCGCCTCCGTCACAATGGTGGATATGCCAGCCCTGTTCCCGAGTGTCCCTCCAACGAGGATGGTCTCTACTACATGAACGGTACCTACCGGACGATGACATTAGATGAGTTCAACGTCACCATGGGCTTCAATCAGCCCGCGGACACCCTGACTCTGGAGTACCAGGGAGCTATTTGTGAGCAGCCAGCTGCCCTCACAACTGGTGAGATTTGGGAGGACCTCATCGGGTCGCAGATCCTGCCGGCCCTGATGAAAGGGTCGGCCCTCAACCCTCCTCCTCGCATATGCCACAAGCTGTTGGCAGGGATGATGCATGCAGGGAAGGAGAGTCAGGGAAAGATCGCCTAGCCTGATCTCTTCGTCCTGCATTGCATGCTCCACGGACGCTGGTGTAATCCCGACTACTTTTTCCTGAGGGCATTGAAGGACTTCGGGAGCCGCCACGTAGGAGTCATCCTCATGGCTCCCCTCATCACCCCGCTAGCCGAGAGATGGGGATGCGCCAATGGGGAGGACATACCCTCTATCCTCCGACCCGAGCCTATTAGTGGGTCCATGCTCGTCAGCATGAGCATGCTCATTAGGCAAGGGCCCGAGTTGACACTCCACCCGGCGTTCGCCATGACCTTGGACATCCAAGACTTGGATGAGTCGGCGGAGATCCCCATGGCCTCGGAGTTTGAGCAGTAGTATGGGGACGACTTTCCCGGTGTCCATCGCCACATGAACGACATCCGCCAGCAGCTGGATCAGATGC